GCCAGCCCAGGGCATGGTGCTAGTGGAGGCTGGGTAGGTGGGGTCGCTATGTGAATCTGTATCACAGGGAGTTATTGTAGTTGTGATTTAATGAGTTTTTAGCATGAAACCATAAGATCATTTTTCTGAGTCTCTGAACAAGTTTTAAAGACAAAAATCTAAAAGAAGGCTAGCCAAAGAAAATATCCTTGGTTAGCTAACTGTTGGTTTGTTTGTCCAAGTTCCACACTGATTTAAAAAGCACCCTTCCTTACTGTGTTCCATGTACTGCTTGTATCTAACAGACCTCAGTCTGCAAAACTTTCTTGGGCACAAAACAGGAGAGCAGACATCTTGGCCTTCTAGAACCTTCTCTGCAGCTGTGTGTGAGTAGCCAAGCCTTTCATGCTGGTGGGCCATGTGTGTCCTGGGACCAACACTGATCTCAGAAACATTTGTTCCTTCATATTTAGAATTGTTGTCTCATAAGTGCCTATGTATGCATATCAGAAACATTTTTTAAAAATTAAATAAACATGGCTCCCTGCCTACTTCCCTACTTCTCCAAGGCCGGTCACAATCCTGGGGGGGTTATTGGCTTTGTAAACTGAAGCATTGTAGAATAGACACATCTTTTCTTTCTTTCTCTTTCTTTTTTTGTGTTTGTGTGTGTGTGTGTGTGTGTGTGTGATATATGCGTGTGTGTGTGATATATGCATGTGTATGTGTTGGTACACTTGTGCCTGTGTCACGTTGAGGTCAGAAGTGTCTTCCTCTATCCCTGTTCACCTTATTTTCTGAGATAGGGTCTGGCTGTTCCCACATCAATTAACAGTAATCAAGATAACCCTCTACAACATGCCCACAGGACAGCCTGATATAGACAGTCCCTCATGGAGACTCTCTTCCCAGGAGATTCTAGATGCTGTCAAGTTGACAGTTCAATCTAGCCATCACAGGAGGGATGAAAGGGGTTTTAAGGGTGTGGTGCTTGCTATGAACACGTTCCAATCTGTAAAGCCCAACTGATGACTCTTCTTAGAGGTAGGTGGTGATTTGTATGGGAAGCCCCAGAAAGACCTTCCCAGTGCCCAGACGCTGGGTAAGGACACTGCTTGCTCAGCTCTACTTCATGTTCAGCATCCTACAGCCTCAGCTTGGGTCCTCAGTTCCTGCCCTCAGTAGCTCAACTTATGGCCTCATGCTGGTATATTCCTCTACAGGTATTCCTCATTTTCTAGAAATTTCTTCTTCCAACTTCTGTTAATTCAGGCTCAAGAAGAGTTAAAAGGTAGAAGTCACAGAGCCACCTCCCCTGCCTTAGTAGGTCCTGAGTGATCATTCAGTACTGTGTCTTTAGAATACTGGAGGACCGCCTGGCCTCACCTTAGGCTACAGCCAGAATACCAAGGCAATACACAAATCCCCTTGGGTGTTTTCCTCCTTTAGTGATGCTTTGACAGCAGAGTCTCTCCATCCTGCTGCTGCTGTCTCAGGCCAGCTCATCAACTCTCATGGGAATTGTAGAGACCCAGCAGTCTCTCTGGCCTCTACACAGGAGAACTTCCCCAATCATGATCATAAAAATAGTTTCCTGTTTGCCAAATGCCCCCAGGGAAGATGAAGAGTAGAGCTGGAAAATGTGATCTCTGATGAGGCTGCTTAATAGTCAAAGAGGAAACCACTGAACTTCTTTGAACAAGGAAGTAATACAACCAAACACCACTTCAGTGACTTCCCTCCAAGGTAAAGGAATGGAGAAGGCCAAGAAGCATTTACTCCCTAACAACATCTTCTTACTAATCCTCGACAGTGCACCAGTACTGTGTGAAACTACATTATTTCCACAGCAGACACCTGAGGACAGGGACAGTGCTCCCAGTGAGTTATAACTGTGCAGGACTTGGGCTAATATGGGGGAGCTACTGAGTAAGAGAGGGGAGAAGAAAAGCTAGCTTAAGTCTGGAGAGATGGGTCAGCAGAAAAGAGCACTGGCTGCTCTTCCAAGGGACCTGGGTTTGGTTCCCATTACCCACAACCATCTGTAACTCCAGTTCCAGGGGATATGATGCCCTCTTCTGGCCTCCATAGGCATTGCATGACATGGATGCATTTATATACATATAGGCAAAACACACACATAAAATAAAATACAGAAACAAAGAAGTCTTCCAGGCATGGTGGCACGTGCCTTCCAGGCATGGTGGCACATGCATTTGGAGGCCAGCTGGGGTTACAGGGAGACCCTGCCTCAAAACAAACCAACAAACAAAAATTAAAAAAAGAAAAACTAGCTCTAGGAGGAGGTTTTTCCCATGGACTCTAGGGCTTTCTTTTCTGTGGAAAATATTTGGACCCATAGTGATAGAAATTGTACTAAAATTAATTGAGAGTGTGGCATGTGCTGGGCACAGTCCTGTGTGTCTTTTATAGGTCATCTCTTTTAATTCTATGAATAAGCTCCTGTGAAAAGACACTATCATTATTCCCACTTTACAAAACAGATAGTAAGCTTAAAAGGTTAAGTCACTTGCCCAGGGTCAGTCAGCAATTCATGGCATTTTAATGGATGTTGCCTAGTCAATTCTGACCTTGTCTGTAACCATGGCACCTCCCTTCACTCACTTCCTCTAACAGGGCAAAGCAGACCTGTGGTCCCATGATGCCTCATACTCACTTGGCCTTCACAGCTTGCACAGGCTGACCTGTTCCCAGTACTGTTGGAACATGAGCTGGTTTATTCCAGTTTGACTGATGGAGATACAAACTAGAAACCAGAACTTTCAGAGTCTTCGTATGGTCTGTTGGATGAAACCAAGAGAGGCTGTAGCATAGAATGTTCTGGTATCTCAAAACTACAAGACTATGTTTTAACTACAATTTCACTCTTCAGCAGAAAGCAAAGTTGTAGTTTGGGCCCTCTTCAATGCCAGTTGCTGTGCTAAAAGTGTCCCTGTCTCCTCACATCCCCTGCTGAAAATCCTGGATGCAGGTAGCATGCTTACATCCTAGGTAGTTGAGGGCTAGCAAGAGTTAGACCATCACGAATGACCAAGATGGGCTTCAAACCTCAGCATGACTCCCGTGTTGGGCTTTGTGGGGTTTTGTTTTTATTTTTACACTGTGGTTATTACTGCCTGGCTTTCACACAAGGAAGGGTTGATCCAGAGAGATTAAGCAGCTTTTCCCAAATGCGAGGACTCCAGTCGGTAGCTCTGGGGGCCAGGGACTAAGACCAGATTCCAGACACCTGGAATGGGTTAGGGTGTTCTTAGAGAACACCATAGAAAAGAGGCTGGACCTCTGCTGTTCTCTGAGTTGGCTGAGTGTGTGGTTGTGCCCTCAACGTCTGCTGGTGTCTGCCCAGAGTCCACACCACCAGACAGTGAGATGTGCTGACTAAGGTCAGGTTTCTCTCTACAAAGATGAAGCCTAGGAGCCTGTCCTGGTGGAGCCCTGTAAACTGGCTGCAGCTGAGGATGATTATTCTCAGTTGCCCCTCCTAGAGTGTAGGGAGTAGGTAGCAGATAAGGAAGGACATAGCCTTGAGGACCTCATGTCATAGGGCCAACCTGAGAAGAAAGGCTGTCTCAGCCACTGTCCAGCTTCTGTTTGGCTCCTTGAGGTTCAGTAGCAGCAGTTCTGGCAGACCTGGTACCCCATGGACACTCAGACCCTCACAGACCTTAATCAGCTTGCATTTTACTATACGCAAGGGCTAAAGTTCCAGATCAAAACAGGAAAGGGACCCAAGTTACCACAGGGGTAGAGACGTAGTTTTTTCTTCTGGTGGTTCAGAGAGGGGAAGTATGGCTGCCAAGGGCAGTTGTTCAGGTTGTACTCCTCCAACATAGGAGAAACTGTGTAAACCATGGTATAGAGCCGTGATCTCTTAGTGGGATGGTGCTTCAAAGATCATGGGCTCTGTAGGCTGCTGCAGTAGACCAGGCCTTACTTCTAAAGAGCTTACACTGTCTAAGAGGCTCCAAGACCACTTAGGCAAAGCTAGGCGGTCTCAGCTAGACTCTGGAGAGGTTTTGCTCTTTCCCCTGTAAGAACAAACTAAGTAGGGCTTGATAATTAAGGAAAAGAAACTGCATGTACTCCAGTCTTTTTGCTGTAATTGCTGACCGATGGTGGAGAATCCAGCCTTCGGTCACCATCTCCTACTGGCTTCTGGACTCTCATCAAGAGAGCGTCTCCTTCTGGCCTCATACTCAACTGTTTCAGTCAGAGCAAGGCTCTGTCTGCCAATTATTCTTAAAAAAACATTTATTGGGGGGCTGGAGAGATAGCTCAGTGGTTAAGAGCACTGACTACTCTTGCAGAGGACCTGGGTTTGATTCCCAGCACCCACATGGCAGCTACAAACTATCCTCAACTTCAGTTCCAGGGGAATCTGAAGCTCTCTTCTGATATCCGCGGCATTGCA